ATCCGCCGCCATCCGCACGGTGAGCGCAGCTCTGCCCGCCCGGCGGCGGCTCCGTGCCAGGGACGCGCCGGACGAGCCGCTGGTTTGGAGAGGGGGAGCGTCGCGGAGCCCTTGGGGCCTGGGCCGGGTGAGGGCGGCCGGGCCGGGCAGTGACCTGTGGCCGGTTCCCGGGGCGGGCGTTCCGCAGGGCGCGGGGAGATGCTGGCTCAGTGCCGGGACCTCGGCAAGGCTGAGGGCCGGATTCCCCGGCCCGGGGCGGCCGGTTGGTGCTGGGATTCCCTGCCGCCTCAGCCTCGGGGAGAGGAGTCGGCCCTGAGCAGCTGCGGGTGGCTGCACTCGCGTTCAGTGAAACGGCGGCGTCAGGGATGCGTAACGGCGCGGGGATCCCGCAGGGCTTCCCTAATTGTGTCTGGTTCCTGAACAGCTAAAACCGCGACTAATTAGCAGTAATTACTGGAAGTCCTGCTCAGCCGCCCGGCAGTAAGGAGTTCAGCTGGCGCTCGGCAGCCGGGACACCTTGGAAGAGCCTTTTGCCTCGTCGCGCTAATAAATACCAAATAGCGGGGTGGCAGCCGGGCTCCTGGTGCAATGATCCGTGCACACACGGGAGGGCAGCGGTTCTCTCTGCTGGATGAAAGGCTTTGCTTTTGAGAAGTTTATTTGTGTTTTTGTGTTACTTGTTGCAGAATTACCAGAGCTAAGATAAGCTGAAGCAAATCCATTGCCAACATGTTTCTGTACAACCTAACGTTGCAGCGTGCCACAGGCATTAGCTTTGCTATCCATGGCAATTTCTCAGGTAATTTTCTCCTCCCTCCGCATGTCTTGGCTTGAGGTTTGTTTTTTTTGATAGCACAAGAAAAAAATATGTGTTTTACAGTTTGCTTTGGTACCTCTGGGGTTTTTTTGCTGGTGCATCATCATTTACTCTTGAGTATTACTTGAGCCGTGGTAGCTTCTGGAAAGATGATTATTTATCAATGTAATGTATCCATAGATTTAGCTTAGTATTCTGATCAGTTTTCTGGTATGTTGAAAGATGTTCAGTGGTGGTATGTTCAATGGTAAGTTTCTTTGAACTTCTCCACGGTAATCCTAAAATTGGCATTTGTAAGTTTCCCCTTCTTCCCTTGTAGCACTTGTTGAGGTTGCATTGTGCTCTGTTCCTGACTTTTGCTCCTGTTTTGGCTTCTTCAGGAACCAAACAACAAGAAATTGTTGTTTCCCGGGGCAAGATCCTGGAGTTACTTCGCCCTGATCCCAACACAGGCAAGGTTCACACTCTGCTGACAGTGGAAGTGTTTGGAGTCATCCGGTCCCTCATGGCCTTTAGGCTGACAGGGGGGACCAAAGACTACATTGTGGTGGGCAGCGATTCAGGGCGCATCGTCATTCTGGAGTACCAGCCCTCCAAGAATGTGTTTGAGAAGATCCATCAGGAAACCTTTGGCAAGAGTGGATGCCGCAGAATCGTTCCAGGCCAGTATTTGGCTGTGGACCCAAAGGGCCGTGCCGTCATGATCAGTAAGTCTCTCTGTCAGCTTGAGTTATTATTTTTATCTTTTGTCTTGTGGATATTTATTTTGAATCAAGTTTCTGCCAGGTATAATTGGAATTGTTTCTCAGGTAGTGTTTTAGACTGAGTTGTGTCAAGGAGAATGCAGGCATTCAGAATTGTTCCTTGATGCTGGTGGACTTGCACAAATAAATTGTAATGCTAACCAAAACGAGTAGGAAAGAAACCAGTTTTCCTAACAGTGCACAGAGCCCTGAAGTGTGGTGTGTGGGAAAGAAGATGGGATTGCAGGCATCAGTGCTACAGTGTAGCCAGTTAGTTGTCATGGCCTGAGATGATGTTCTGAGTTCATGTCTCTTCTCTGAGATGTCTTGTGGAGACAGCCAAATTCATTTCTGATCAGGCTTCACAGGTAGAAGGACACTTGGAAGAAATTTTTTGGTAAGAGTTAGCATGAGATATATGGAACTTTCTCTGTTTGCTGATGGTGGTTTACCAATATTGTCTTTATACTGGGAATAGCAATAAATAATATTGTTTCTTTTCTAACGTGTCTGGTCTTCCTGGGTGAGAAAGTAGCACAGTCATGGTTGTGCCATGCATATTGATATCTGAGTGGTGGTTTTTATGTTGTGGATGTTATGTGTCAAGCAAGGATACATTTTCTTAGTTAAAATATTTTTATGGAGAAGTTGTCATACCAGCTGGCTTTAAATAGCAGAACATCTGGATCCTTCTTTCTGTTTGTCTTTGCTTCCTTGCAGTCTGTCATCTCTTGTGTTGTAAAAGGAGTGAGTAGACCTGCCTTAAGCCACTGTAGTTGGCATATTGGGCCAGGTGAATGTAGCTCAAAGGGTCAGGCTTTGGCCTTAAAGGGCTGAAGTTGTCATTTTGTCCTTACAATCTGAAAGATTTAAAATGAGACATTCAAGGTTAATTGGTGGCACAGAGATAAACACCAGTAGTGAACTTCAGCTGAAGTAACACTGACATTCTCTTGCCAAGTTGCAGCTCGATTTTGGGCTGCAGGTATGGTTAGATTTGATCATCAAGTGATGGGCTTCATGTGCTGTTGTCCTTTTTTGCAGGTGCCATTGAAAAGCAGAAGCTGGTGTATATTCTGAACAGAGATGCTGCTGCTCGACTCACCATTTCCTCCCCACTGGAAGCCCACAAGGCCAATACCTTGGTCTACCATGTGGTAGGAGTCGATGTGGGGTTTGAAAACCCAATGTTTGCTTGTCTAGAAATGGATTATGAGGTGAGAAGAACTTCATCTTCCTTTGCTGTCTTTAGACGTTTGTTGTTCCTATTCTGTTCTTCATCTGTCATTGGGAAACATAGGCTGCTTCTGCTGTCTGAGGCAGTTTCCATTTTTCACAAGCTTACTGGCTTTTTGTCTTGCCTTCAGCCAGAATGGACAAGTCTCTTCTGCCTTGGTGATTCATTTTGCTTTTCAACTGAAAATATGCCTCTTTTCTTGGTCTGAACTTCTCTTGTGCAGTTTCCAGTCTTGTTGCCTCCATTCTGTTGTTACTCAAAACTGTTTCCCCACGTATCAGCTTTGCTCCTCCTTTTAATACTTTTCTTCAAAGACCCCTCCATGTGTTCTGTTTTAGGAGGCAGATAATGATCCCACAGGTGAAGCTGCAGCCAACACACAACAGACATTGACGTTTTATGAATTGGACTTGGGTTTGAACCATGTTGTCAGGAAATACAGTGAGCCCCTGGAAGAGCATGGCAACTTCCTCATAACAGGTACTGCCTACTGAGATGTTTTTGCATGGGTCTACTTGGTTCCCATTCTCTAGGAAAACAGAGTCAATACTATTTACATCTTAGGAGTTGTTTCAATTGTAGTTTGAGCCATTAGTATAAATTAGTTAATTGACCTTGCAGTCAGGTAATGAGGGGTGGTTCACACATGGAAACACACAAGTATTTGTAGAAGCAGCTGCAGTTAGATAGGTCTCCTGAAATTAGCTGATAGCAATGCAAAAGGACTTAGTTAATGTGTAGGTGCTGTTGTACTCTCTTGAATAGGATTCCATCAGCTAAAGGCAGTAGGTGAATCCATGGACTAAAAGCCCACCTTGAGGGGTTGGATGCAGAGCCAATATAACACCTTCAACCAGGGAAACTGCTGCAGGCTCCTCTCCAAGCACAAAAGGTGCTGAGCTAGGAGAGCATCTTTGTATGCTTGCCCTGTTGCATCTCCTGTAGGCAGCTGTCAGACAGACACCAAATATTTTGCTGAATCTGTTTGGTGATATCTTTTGTTACATGAGATCACAAAGTATGGTTTTAGAAATGCTTCTATTAACTAAAGATGTTAATTCAAACAGTAAAACTCAAGCAATTTGTCAGAAGCTGCATCCTTCCAGGTCCCCTGGTTCCTTCTGCTCTGTTCTCATGGTGGCACAGGCAGCTTGTACTCAGTCTTCTGTCTTTTCAATAAGGGCAGATTCATACATGCAGGGTGATGGAGAGTACTGGAAACTACATTGCATTAAAGAAAACCAAATGTTCTGCAAGCAGTGAGTCAGATCTGTGGTAAAGGCTTTTCTCCTAATAATTTTCTTTCAGTTCCGGGTGGTTCTGATGGCCCCAGTGGAGTACTGATCTGTTCTGAAAATTATATTACTTACAAAAACTTTGGTGACCAGCCTGACATCAGATGCCCAATTCCCAGGAGACGGGTGAGAATTCTTTAAGATTATGAATGCTTGGAATTTGCTTTTCAAGGTTAAGGGCATCAGGAAGGTTTTACAGTAAGAAAAAAGCAGTTAAAACCACATTGGTTTATCTACCTCACTGGCTGTGTGTTATCTGGGAGGGAGGATGGAGGTGGGCATAGCCTGAAGTGATGAGTGTGGTTCATGTCTCTTCTCTGAGATTTATACTGGAGATACTCCAAAGCCTCTGATCAGGCAGCATGTCAGTGCAAGATAGGATTACTTGAGATGCTGAATGGTGGCAATTATAGATGCAGATGAATTCAACAGCAGCTCTGTTGCAACTAAGGCTGCTTCCTCTCCCTTTGGTATGGGGGATTACGTGCTTTGGCAATGCTTTGAACACCTGCCAAGGTGCTCAAAACCCGCTGTGTCTGGGTTACAGTCCTTTCCTGTGTTTTTGGCTTTGATACGTGAGAGTTGCCTGGAGAGGAGAGTAAAACAGAAGAGGGATGATGTTTAGGCACAGTGTCCCACAACTGTATTTCCTTCTGGGGCAGAGATGTACCAAGGGTGACTACAGGTGTAACGAAGGGATGTGCTTTGTGTTAAAAGCCTTCTTCCATACTGTGAGCTCTTAAGGCACCTGGGAAATGGAAATACTTCAGTCAGTGAAATCACTTCTGTGCTTGTCAGGTAATTCCACCAATGACCTCCTGTCTTTCCTGACAGAATGACTTGGATGACCCAGAGAGGGGTATGATTTTTGTCTGCTCTGCTACACATAAGACCAAGTCCATGTTCTTCTTCTTGGCCCAGACAGAGCAGGGAGACATCTTCAAAATTACTCTGGAGACTGATGAAGACATGGTAAGCATCACATGAATGCAGAAGCATTAATTGAGAGGAGTCCATAGTCAATTACTTTCTTTAAGGTGATACATATTTACTGTTGCAAGTTTAGCTGTGTAAGGGCACATGCTTTATGTGATTTGTTACACAGTTAACACTGGTCACAATTGTGGGTTTCAGTCATAAAGAGACACAGTGCAAGGTTTGCAAAATCCTGTGAGGATTAAGCTGCAGTCACTTGAGCATACTTGAAATGTTCTAGAGGTGTTTTTTTCCTTAAAAGATGTAAACTGTGGTCCATGAACCTCCTGGAGAGTATTTCAGTAACTCTTTCTGTGGAACTTAGCTTCCCTGGATTTTAGCAAGTACCCTCTAGTCTCTTAATTGAGTATTTATATCAGTCAATATTTTTGCAAGTTGAAGAAACTAGCTTGGTCTGTGAATTGAAATAACTGTCTTGCAGTGGCTTGCTGCTTCTTGTTTTAGTATTCTGCTCTGAAAAGATCTCTGTTGAGTTGGGTTTTTTGAGTAAATATAGAAGGGTAATTTATTCATTTAAACATGTCATATTTGGTACAAGGAGTGATTGTCTAGCAAGCACCAAGCCTGCCAGAGTTCAAGGAGTGTTTGGACAATGATCTCAAACACATGGTGTGATTTTTGGGGTTGCTCTGTGCTGAGCTGGGAGCTGGACTTGATAATCCTTGTTGGTCCCTTCCAACTCGGAATAAACTGTGATTCTATGATGTTCAAGTGCCTGAAGATTGTTCTTGGATGTTTCACCAACAGCTGTTGAGACTATATCAAATTTAGAAATTTGCTCAGGACGGTTATTTTTCTAATGCTGGAGAATGGCTAGTGTTCAGTGAAGCAAATTTTTTTTCTCTTAGGCAGCTTGCTATTTTTATAGCTTTTGTTTTGCAGATTGACTCAGTGTTACAAAAGGCAGAACATCTTGGAATGAAACAGGCAGCCTGGCATGTCTGTTCAAATAGTCTGTTGGATTTTGTGATTTATAACCTGGTGCCCCAAACTGATGTGTAGCCTGCTCACATGTGCAAGCCTAGTCTTGCTTCATTTCTTTGGAAAAGATAGTTACGTAGATGTTTTTTATTAAATCACACACATGGAGCTCCAGTACTTTACCATCACAGTCACATCTACGTCTGCTTTCAGGTAACAGAGATTCGACTGAAGTACTTTGACACTGTTCCTGTTGCTGCTGCCATGTGTGTGCTGAAAACAGGGTTTCTCTTTGTGGCATCTGAATTTGGAAACCAGTGAGTAAGCAATCTTTCATCAGTGTTTTTCCCCTGTTCTGTTCAGGCCTGCAGACTGACCCTTGAACTTAGTGTGCATAGAAAGACAACACCTCTGATTTAATGGGTAAATTAGTGCTTTGTTCAGAGGGCTTGAGAAGGACAGTTGGATTAGACTATGAATGGGGGAATTTTCTTCTTGTTTGAACTCAGATTAGATGATGACGTGCAGATAACAAAAGGTTACTTGCTGTTGCAGCAGGTTTTAGAAAAATTGAGTATTTCCTGTTTGTGTAGGGTTCATCACATATCTAGGTGAATTATCTTTTCAGTTAGTTTGATAGTTTCGAATTTTTGTGTCTGTGGCCCACTCAGAAGTAAATAGGGTTTCTTATTAGTAGCTGTGTTCTTTCCTTACTTGATGTATACTTGAGGGCTTTTTCTTAATTCATGTTTGGGCTTCTAAATACTCTAAAGGATCATGCACACCTTTGAAGATTAGTTTAACTCTGTCTGAGTGGGGATTCACAGGAATTGAGATTTTCCTGACTGTATCTGCACTCAGCCACCTGAGGGAGCCCCAGCCAGTTTGCTGGATTGAATCTGAGTTGAGGAAGCCATATTCAGGCTTCATTAAAAACTGGAAGTAACTCAGTCTATCTTTCTGTGGGTTTTTTTGGGAATTTTCTTCTCTGAAGTTTTATTTGATTGTTGTGTTATTTAGACTCATAAAGTGGAATAGGGAATGTGGTTAAAAATAGTGTGGTTAAAAAAGTGAGAGTATTCCAATAAAATAGATAACTGTGGAGTTGAAGTGTTAGCCATTGGCCTTGATTTTGGCCTCAGCTGTCAGTTGGTGTTTTGGCTTTAACACAAGAATATCTAAAAGGCTCAAGGGCAAACAAAACACTGAAACTCTGGGATACCTTGCCAGTGACAGCTGCAAATGTGAAGGGCTGAAGCTGGGAGGTTGTGGGGGAGTTCTCTTGTTTGTGGGTTTTGGGGTTTTTTTTCTTTGCAGGCCTCTGATTATTTTTAAGTACTTTGTCACACAGAAGACAATCCTTAAAGCCAAATATTAGTAACTGTGTAATGTAGGGTTGGATTTCTTTCTTTCCCACTACACCCAGAAGACAATCCTTAAAGCCAAATATCAATAACTGTGTAATGTAGGGTTGGATTTCTTTCTTCCCCACTACCTAAGTACCTGGTTAAACCTTACTTAAAGAAGGCTATATGAGCCTTGCTCTGAACATGCTGACACTTTTCTTTCTGTCTCAAGTTACCTGTACCAGATAGCTCACCTGGGGGATGACGATGAGGAGCCAGAGTTTTCCTCTGCCATGCCTCTTGAGGAAGGAGATACATTCTTTTTTCAGCCACGACCTCTGAAGAACCTGGTGCTGGTGGATGAGTTGGACAGTTTGTCTCCTATTCTGTGTTGTCAGGTATGTTGCCATCATTAAGTTCCTGTTTACCACAAGTGTGAGTGGAGTCACCAGCTATGTTATTCCAGGTTTCCAGAAATCCTGCTCCAAGTAAAGACTCATAGAAAGTCAAATCTGTAGAGTTCTCAGATATCTGACTCAGATTGGTACCTGGCCTGGTAATTTGGATTCCTGTGGCATTAAATACATATCTAAACACAGGGTGTCAGCCTGTGATTCTGTGATGCTTCTCTGTTGACCATCAGACCAGTTCTTACCAAAGAGTTTGGGTAAAACTTAATATTCTTTCAGGGCAGCAGCTGGAACACCTTATGGCATCTCCACAGCTTTTTGTATTTGCAAAACATTATTAAAGCAGTAGTGTGATACATAGATCTAGTTTTATTTTCTCATTCCATAGATGTTGTTTTGACACTTTTTCTCCACACAGATAGCAGATTTGGCCAATGAAGACACACCCCAGTTGTATGTGGCATGTGGTCGGGGGCCCAGGTCATCCCTGAGGGTTTTAAGACATGGACTTGAGGTAAGACATCCAGCACTTTAGAAGAACAGCCTGAGAGGTGAGGGTGGTGTGAGGAAATCCTTGAAATAAAGGTGCTGAAACAAGGGGATTCTCCTGCTGTACTCTGGAGAGCTACTTTCTCTTGCTTCTAGAGAAATAGAAGAGAAATAAATTGTACTGTTTATTCTTACAGTCTCAAAGGCTTTTTGTTTACTTGACTTCAACAAAACCTGCATTTTGTCTCTTCTAATACTTGAGTGTATTGAGCTGGAACATTCCTGTTGTCTGCCAGCTGCTGCTGATCTCTGCTGGGGGTGGATGACCTTGTTTTAAAGCTGATGATCCAAAGCAATAATGTTACCATATCATTGCTGACCATATTTTGCCCTGTAGCACATCTGGCATGGGCTGAGAGCATTAGAATTGGGAATTGTTAGCTTTCCTGTCCAGTTGTGGGAAAGCTTAAAAACTGCTGGTGGTTTGATTGCTTACTCTATTAAGTCTAAACATCTGTTTGCAAAAGAACCTTCTTCCTGTTTACTGTTAGGTATCCGAAATGGCCGTCTCAGAGCTGCCTGGTAACCCCAATGCTGTATGGACTGTGAGGAGGCATGTTGAAGGTATGCAGTATTTTCCTGAAGCACAGGGAGGCCATAATGTTTTTGTGTGTGTTTTGTTTGTTGTTGTTTCCCGGTTTTCTGTCCAAGGAGATAGAAATGGTGCTGCATGATGCTTGTGTGCCATTCCCAGAAATTGTGGTTTGAGTCAGCAGCCACCTGCTTGTCTTTAGAAGCCACCCACCCTTTGGTCCCCTGGTATTGTCACACTTCCTTTTGACAAAGAGGCAGTTGCCTGCAGCTGCATCCATCGCCCAGTATGCTGTGTCAGCTGTACATTTGCAGCCTAAAGCTGCTGAACTTCGAATGAATTTCCATTTCCCATAAGTTTTTTGCCCATAAGTTCTTGCTCAAACATCAGCAGGCAGCAGCTATTCTTGTTGTTGGAGCATACTCACTATTCTTCATGTGTGTGTTGACAACTGTAGTAATCAGCTCTTTGTGAGAGAGTGGGATACAAATTATGGAACAAAGATGATAAATCAGCAACACTGTCTTTATTTATTACTTCCTTCTGTGCATATCTTTGAAAAAAACCACTCTGGACTAGGACATACTCTCTATTCAAGAGCCAGCAGTATGTAGAAGGTTGGTGATTCTGGGAAGATTAAGATTTGAGGTTGGCAGAATATACTGGACTGGGGGTTTGGTTGGTTATTTGGTTTGTTTTTTTTTAATTTTGTGTTCTGAAATAATAGCTGTACTAACATACAAGAGGAAATGCAGTCCCTTCTCCTGCCTTTCTCTTGATGGTGAGAGCAGAATTGCACAGAAACACCTAAAAAGCTTGTAGGAAATCTGTTCTGGGTACTGGCAGGCTCAGGGATTATTTCCCAAGCAGTGCTTTGTATAACCCTCACAAAGACTTCCCTAGGTTTATGCACGGCATCTAGGAAGGCCAGATTGTTGCAATAGAGGCTTTAGCCTGCTGTGGTGACATGATACCTTACATTTAAGCAGAGTAGCATGTCTTCCAGGGAACCAGTAACCCTGTGGGAATTTCGAATGCTGCAGTGGGATTTATATACATGGTTTTCTGAAGAGGCATTCTAGTTTGTTAGAAACCTTTTCTCCAGCATTCTGGAAAAGAAATTGGTAAGATTTCCTCCCTCTGAGGACTGGAGGCTTCTGACATCACCTTACAGTTTTAAAATCTTTTCTCTTGGGATTCCAGAAGAAGACTTTGACTTTTCACGAGGTGGAGGACCATTGGTGATCTGCAGGAAGTGGACCAGTCTCATTGCCTCCTTTGCTTTCCACCTTTCAGATTCTCCAGGTTTCAGCATGATCATCTCCATGATTTCAGAAAGGCTGGAATCTGTAGCTGTTAAGCTGTGCTATTCACTGTATACAGTTGATAGATCTGTGAAACTGATCCCCAAGTTCCAACTCATGGAATTCAGAGATTAATTTAGTGTGTTTTAATCAGAAAGAGTTCAGAACCTTTACAGATGTGTCTAATCTTTAAAGTGCCTTTGAGGGCTCAGTTGGCAGTGTGGGGTTGCCCAGCTCTGCCTCGATGTTGCAGTATGTGTGTGTGCTGCAAGGCCTCTGTAAGAAACACCCGGGTCTGCAGTCTTCAAAGCAAATACTAACCTTGGCTGGTACGTGGTGATACTCACTACCAATACCAAGCCTTTTTTTTTCTTCCACAGGTGGCTGGTGGTGGAGGTGCTGATCACCACAGGTGTGTACCTACTGCTAGGGGCTACTGTACAGTACCACAGGTTAACCACAGAGAATCCCAACAGCATGGGGCTGCATTTATGCTAAGCATTTCAGTAAACAAATTCTAGAAACTGGTGTGCAGTTGAAGATTGTTGTCTTTGAAGTTCAGTAGCTGAGGAGTAGAAAGCAGATCCCAGTCCATCTTGCAGTCCTTGGGAAGCAAAACAATCAACTGTGTCTCTGTGGGACAGGCAGTTCTCGCTAAAATTGGATGTGTGTGGTTAAGGGGTATTTTCAGCTCTGGTAGACCAAATTTAGGCTCCCAGCTGCTTTGTACAGACCTCCAAGAGAAAAAGATCAAGTGTGCTTGGAGCATTTGTAGGTATTGCTGGCATGGGAATGCCCTGTGGTTATGAGAATCATCTGCCTGTGAGACAGAAGTGGGTAGGATTTGCACCAAACCCTCTATTCCAGTTGAATATCTGTGGGTGTAGGTGTGTGCTCTGTTGTGTTGACAGATGAAAGCTGGGAGCTGAGAGTCAGCATTCCCTACCTGGCACTCTTACTGGAGGAGCAATGTGCAGTGAGTCAGTGCTGCAGACTCGCCACGCAGTAGTAAACAGAAGCCCAGGAAAATGTGCTGTCATCCCCATAGAGTCTGTTAACTGAGAGTGATCCTGAGCTCTGCCACTGCTCACCAGTTTGCTCAGAACTCCTCTGAGCTCATGGTGACTGTATTTGTGTCGGTGCAAATTCAGATGCCACAGAGCATGAGAAAACTGTTAGGACTGGAGTGGCATATAAGAATGGAATTCTCATGGACTAACTCAAACTGAATCCATGGCAAATAATAAAAAGCACAGTCGTCTAGAGTTCATGGACTGAAATGTCATGATTTCATAACTGGTTGTGATGTGTGCATGAAGCTGCAGAAAACTTGTAATGCATGTGTAGGAGAATGAGTCCAGCTGTGGCTCTTCAGAGTCATTAAAATGTCTCTGTTACTCACTGAAAGGAGCTGACTGGTGCAATTAGAACAGTAATAAGCATCTCTGAAGTCTTGTGTCTGCATACAAAATGATGTCTATCTGTTTAAAACTCTGGGGAGCCTGATGTTTTGCTTGGGATTGTGCAGAGCTAAGTAGATAGCTTTTCATATTAAAATCTATAGATCTTTTCTTTTTCTACCCCATGACACTGAGAATACTCTCAGTGTGCCCTAGGGATTTAGTCCTCTTAATTTCAACTAGGCTGCTATATTTTCTAAACCAGAATTTTATTGTTTGAACCTAGATGAATGTGTGTTATTCACTGACTTAATTCTGGTAAAGAAAACCCTTTATTTCAAAAGCTCCAGCAGAGAGTCATTAAGCAACACAGACTTCAAGCAGAAATGCACTTGTCACCATTATTGACACAGACTTAAAGGCATGCTCTAATATAAATGTAAGCCAATGGAAAGAAAGAGCAAAAAAAATATTAAGAGGTAGGAATGAGTTTTCATCTAGAGTAGGACTAAGGGAATCTGTTTTGTTTTCAGATGGGAGTTCTTTGTCCTATTCCAAATCACATGCTTAAATCTCCAGCTGGGACACAGTGGTTTATCATGAGAATTGACAGCCCCTAGGGAGGAAGGCAGCAGCTCTGAAGTAATTTGGAAAGCAACAGTGGTCTTTGAAATGGAATTCTTAGAACATCCTGTCTATGGGATATTTATGAATCAAATGCTTAGCCTGTGAACTGCTAGAAACTCCATGATTGAGGAATTCTGGTAGACTTCTGGTGTTGAAAAATTTGTGCAAATTTGTAGGAGAAGCTGCTGTTCAGTGTAGAAAATAAGCAGTGTGTGTGTCTTGCTGAACTCTTATCATCTGCTGTTAATGTTGGAGGAATTCTCCAGTTTAGCCAAGCGTGCAAGTAGTTGGCTTTACTGATGGGGCTCTCTGCAGATTCAGTTCTTACGTTCTCATTCCCCCAAATGGACTGGTTTTTGTTCGTAGGGTTTTGGAGCTGTTGGTGGTTATAGGCTGTGAGTAGTTAATAGAATAGTAATGGAGTTCATGTCACAGACTTCTGTTGAAATTGCTTTCGTTACACAGAACTTTTCAGTTTGATCAGAGCTGTGGTCTGTATACCAGATGTTGCAGAGAAGAAGGATGGATTTTTTAATTTTTCACTTGCATATTTTCAGCTGTATGTAAGAGCTTTTTGTTATAAACGTGACACAGCAGGTTTGGCAATGCTTCCATCTAAACAGGGTGGATAAGAAAAGGATTAGTTCTTCAAGCTTTTGTTTTGGTTAACCCAGCTCAGGTTCTTTAGGCTGCTGCATTGTATTTTGTGGCATCCTGTTTCCATCCCAGTGAAACTCCTCTATTTTCCTTTTCTGTTATTAGCCACTTCTCCATGTCTCCCATGTTTGAAAACTATGGAGAATCTCCTTTCAAGGGCAGAAACTGACAGCTCTCTTACACCCTCACCTCCACTAGATATGCTGTGGTGCCCAAGGCTGAGGTTTGGGTTGAGTTGGGTTAAAAAGAGGAATTTTCTTTTTAAGAAATAGCAGTTGCATGACAACAGCAGCAGAAGTGGAGTTGCTTCTCTGAGGCAATCTTATTTGTCTTCCAAGGCTCTTGGCTCTATTTCCCAATAGATTTCATTGTTTCTGTTGCTTTTGGTATTCTGTTTTAATGAGATTGTCCTCTTCCCCTCTTAAGACCTATTACTTTCTGCAGAGTGAAAGCAGACAGCAGTAAACTGGGACATTTGCTTTACCCAGTCCTACTACCCTCATTTCCCACAAAGTTTCCCTATTTCCAAATGAGCTCTTTAGATTATTTTCATTAGCATAGCTCCTCCATGTCCAAGCTACAGGAGTCTCCCACGCTGTCCCCTTTGGGAGAAGCCAGTACTGGAGATAATAGAGCAAACACTGACCTTTACTTCCATTGGGATAAATGACAGTATTGCAACTATCTTTAAAATCTAATTGTTTCTTATCCCAGGAGATCTCACAATGTGAGTAGAAGCCAGTTGAGCTTTTGGAGGAGGATAGAGCAGGTTTAACCCTAAATTCTGCTGCAATGCACTCTAATTGTTCACTGCAGCCTTTTATTGCGTGGCTGCTAGATAGAGATTGTACTGCAGCCTCCTGTGTGCAACATCTGTGGTGTGGTTTCTGCAGATAGATTCCTTACGTTCAAATTTTTGGAGTATTTAGTTTGACTTTGTTGGGTGTTAAATCTGGATTCAGCTCCTTGGGTGAGGGGGGACAACAGTTTTAAAAGCTTTGAGAACTTGAGCGTTCTTTGAAAAAAACTAGATGAGAATCTTTCTTGCCAGAATGCAGAGTATGGTGAATTGACTGTGGATCTGGATCGTGGTTTGATCCCTGGCTCGGTCTTGCATTGTTTGGAGTCCAGCAGTGGCTGGCTTTTGGACAGCGTGTCCTAGAGCGAACTTGTGCAATACTGTCAGCAGCTGTAATTGTCACAGGAATTCTGCTGAAGAGCAACTGCTAGACATTTGTCAGACTGCTGATTGTGTTGGGAAGCCTTGCATTTATTAAATCAGTACTCTTTTTTTTTGTCTCCCTTGACCAGATGAATTTGATGCTTACATTATTGTGTCCTTCGTAAATGCCACGCTGGTGCTGTCTATCGGAGAGACTGTAGAAGAAGTGACTGACTCTGGATTCCTGGGTACTACACCCACCTTGTCCTGCTCTCTTCTTGGTGATGATGCTTTGGTACAGGTAATGGAAGAAAAAAATGTTCTTTCTGATGTGTCTACTATGTCTGCCACTCACAGCTTGCTGCACAGATGTGATTTCTGCAGTAGTGCAACACATGTCTAAAGATGCAGGCTGGCAGAGAATGATGCTGATTTAGCCTGTCCCTTTTTATATCTTGCTAAATGAGACTGGACCACTCCAAAATGGTCCTAATCTCCTTCAGTTGCCCCTTGCTGTGGTTAAAAGATGAAGTTCTCCCAGCTGGCAAGTATCTTCCTGTTGGTTCAGCCTCGTGCATAGCTGATGGACCACTGGCTGCCAGGAGCAGTTCTTGCCTTTGGCTTCTGCTGAGTCAGAACCACTAGTGAAAGGGGAGTTGTGAAGAAATGGTAAATACAGAGTTGATGGGACCTTTTTTTTTTCCTTCAGGTTTATCCAGATGGGATTCGGCACATCCGAGCAGATAAGAGAGTAAATGAATGGAAGACACCAGGAAAGAAAACCATTGTAAAATGTGCTGTGAACCAAAGACAAGTAGTGATAGCACTGACTGGAGGAGAACTGGTTTACTTTGAGATGGACCCGGTATGTGTGTTAATGTGTGAATGAGTTTGGTAGAGTGAGGTATGGGTTATGCCAGTGATTGATCCTTGATCAGACCTGCGGAAAAGGATTCAGAAGTAGAGCATTCTTCTAGAATGGATATATCAAAGCCCTGCATATCAAGACTGTCTATCTGAGATAATTTAATGGCTAATTAAGGTCTCTGAAGGTCATAACTGAGGCTGAAAATTGTGTATTTGTACTCTTGCTCTTCTGGTTCTTCCAATTGTAGCTGAAATAAATGGTTTAAAAATTGCGATGTTGTTTATATAACAAATCCAAAGCATTGTTTAAAAACGAAGTATCTAATTAGTAAGTCATATGTTTTTCTTTCTCAGTCAGGACAGCTGAATGAGTACACAGAGAGAAAGGAGATGTCGGCCGACGTCGTTTGCATGAGCCTGGCCAACGTTCCCCCTGGGGAGCAGCGTTCCCGGTTCCTTGCTGTTGGACTGGTGGACAACACTGTCAGAATTATTTCACTTGACCCTTCGGTGAGTAGCTGTGGTGATTTTTTTCTGTGCTGAATACTTCTTTCTGGAGACCTAAAAGGGCGTCTTTAAGCTCCTTAGATGGAGCTTGAATCCTGTCTTGCTATGCCAAGCCTTGCTGACTGGTGTTTTCTCTCTCCTGTTTCCCTCAGGATTGCTTACAGCCCCTGAGTATGCAGGCGCTGCCCGCACAGCCCGAGTCGCTGTGCATCGTGGAGATGGGTGGCACAGAGAAGCAGGATGAGCTGGGAGAGAGGGGCTCCATTGGCTTTCTGTACCTGAACATTGGACTGCAGGTGAGGGGTTCCTCATGCCTGGCAGGCATGTCTTGAGGAGCTTTTGCTTGAAAGGTGGATTGTTAAAATAGCCCTGTCATCATGTAGTGCAACACAAAGCCTGATTTCCCTCTTTGTTACAATGTGTTTGATAAGGGTGTCTGGGGAATTCACTCTGTGAGTTTCCCCACACATTTTTATGCTAAAGACTAGTCAAAAGACAGTATATTATCCCAGATTTTATGTAGGACAGTCTGTGCTTTTCCCATTCAAGAAGGAAGGCATATTTTAAGAAATATTTCTGGGTGAAATGTTGAGTAGCTCTTTAAAAACTGCCTGTAGGGCAGAGTATCAAACAAGTAACTGCCCACTAACAGAGGCTCTGCTTTAATAACTCTGCTATTACACAGCTTTTTGTTGTATCCAGTACAGACGCTCTGATCTTTGACCAAAAAATGTTGTTTTGATAATTCCACATGTAGTAAAAATAATCAGCACAGTTTAGGTTCTTCCTCATGCCTCAAGTTTGATGTCAGAATGCAAACTTTTTTTAAGGAGCATGAGTTTTTGGGTAAAATCTTTGTGCCAAGAGGGATGAGGATCTGGAATCCACCCTCAGGTTCTTACGGCTTATGTGACACTAAAGTCCTTGGTCTGTTTTTTATTCTGGAGAGGGTCTTTTCTGCCCTGTAGCACTGTGCAGGAGCTGTGCTTTCTTTGCTATTAAAAGTGTGGCCGTAGGGGAGAGTTGTACTGACAGCTAGGAAAACAAGCAGCTAATTCTTCATAAATTGCCTCTCTCAATTGTTTAGAATTATGCATGTAGTAAGTTAACTTCTTACCTTCAACCTGGATCTTTTTGTTTCGCTGCTGTTAAGAACGGTGTGCTGCTGCGAACCGTCCTGGACCCCGTCACCGGCGATCTCTCTGACACCAGGACCAGATACCTTGGCTCCCGGCCTGTCAAACTCTTCCGTGTCCGAATGCAAGGCCAAGAGGCGGTAAGAGAGGCGAGCTCTTGCAGGGGTACAGATCCACTCTCCAGGCATCACATCCCAGCTTTTCCTATGGGTGGGCAGAGTGGGAAAGCGCATCCCTGCAGCACAGCAGGACCCTCTGGGTAGGGGTGGGAAGTAAAATGACTTCATTATGGAGCTGCCTGGCTCGCAGCTTGTTCTTTCACAAACAGCCTTGTTCTTATTCCCCTTACTGCTGTGTAGTGCTGTCCTGCCTTCTCTGAACTAGGATTCATCTGACCCATAGGCTGTGTTTACAGTGTGCTTGGAGAGCTCTGAGCAGATTCTTGGGCTTAGAGACACATCTTGCCTGCTTTAGCTGACAGAGAGATGGCGAGAGCTCTGTGCAGAAACCTTACCCTTGAATGCTTGATGCAGAGAGTGGTTGTGTCCTTGCATGTTGGGAATAGCTTAGCCAAAGGCTGGACAGCTGCCATACATGGTTCAAGGAAAATATTTGCAAGATTTGGCATAGAAGGAAGAATGTGTTTCATCAGAAGTGCCAATTCCAGGCCTTCTGATGTGGCACTGGGGAAATCAGCCACCCCCTGCTTGACTCATTTTTGGATGACACCTTCAGAGTTGAGAAATAATGCTGATCAGCCTAGGGGGCTGGATCTGGAAATTTGTGCTCTGCTGTAGTGTTATGGTACAGTGGGTGAATCTCTTCAACTTACTCCTGCCAGCTGTAGCTGCAAAAGAATACCTGTAGAGTAAACAAGTGCTTTTCAGCTTTGAGATCAGCTGTTGTCACTCAGGCAGAAACTAAGGTTGTGCTGAAACTCATTTAGCCAAATGTTTAAAGCTGATAAGTTTGGAAGTCAATCTGCTTCCTTTGTTTCTCATAATTTGATTTAGGTTAGTGATGATTTTCAATAAATTTCACTAAGAGTGGAACAGCATTCGGATTGTGATGAAGCAGTAAATATTTTAAAAGACCTGTTCCTGTTAGAACAAGCTGTTAAAAAAAAGGAGATATGATAGTATTGTTGATCTTGACTTTTACAGGTAATAGGTTTAGTGCACCTCAGTTGGGGTGTTTGTTGTCTTGATAGTGCTTTAAAGTTCCTTTTTGTGCCATATGCAATTTCCAGAGAAAGCTGAAAGTAAGGAGTGTCTCCCCAGGTGTGCTCTGAGCCGGGTGGGGTCCACCCACAAGAATTCAGTTGTTGCAGTGGGGAAGAGTTGGGCAGTGTCCATCCATTCCTATTGCATAAAGTGAGCTTTCTTCCATTCCCAGACCTAATAAATTTGCTTCCTGTCTTTCCCAGGTGCTGGCCATGTCAAGCCGTTCCTGGCTTAGTTATTCCTATCAGTCACGCTTCCACCTGACTCCACTGTCTTATGAGACACTGGAGTTTGCATCTGGTTTTGCTTCTGAGCAGTGCCCTGAGGGCATTGTGGCCATCTCCACAAACACATTGAGGTAAGCACCAGGAAACACAAATGCTTCCGGGCTGGGGTGCCAGGCAGGTGAAGTGGTGAATTCCAGCTGACATTCAGAAGGAAAGAGGTAAAGTGACTAGACTTCAAAAAGACTTTTTTATTATGCATAGTGATTTGAATGATAGAATAGAATTTGAATGATGATAGAAACACTTAGATATGTTTCAGAAAACAGACAATTTAAGGAAAGTTAATGCTCTCAAGAAGAGATGGGAGTGTGCTTCTCAGATTTGTATTTTCTAACTTTTTAAAATAAGTGTAATTCAAGTTATTCTTCAATGCTCTGATCCTGAGAGAGGGAAGCTTTTAATAAATGTGGACCTGTTATGTACTAGGATCTTGTGGTTTGTGATCTGAATTGGCTGCTTTGCAGGAAATGAACCACGTGATTTCAGAAACCAGAGGCATGACAGGGATGTATTTGTTGCCTTTTTTAAAGTTCAGCTGAGATACTAAAAAGATAAATGAAAATAATGGACCACAAATTCAGATGCTGTGCTGTATGCACTTGAACAGGCACTTTTTTCATATCTGTCCTCATTGAAATATTTACAGCATTCATTGCTTTTAAAGGAGCCATTCTTTCTGGAAAGACTTGTGGTTTTTAGACACCAAATGCCAGAAGAACTGGCATTTCAGCTGGCAAGTCACAGGAAGAAAGAGCTGGCATTGCCTTTTTCATACTCTTTTTAACTGAAGTGCCTCTGAGGAGCATTTGATTGTATGTCAGTGTCACATTTAGATTCAGATGATGTGTTCCCCAAACGTGCACTTTCTTTCTTCCCTGTGCTCTTTGTTCCTCTTGGGATACACTTGTTTCAGCACCAGTCAGAATGCACCCTGGGACAGCAGGAGCCTTCAAAGACCTTGTGCTGCAGCACACACCTGTCTCACATCATGGGCTCCCATTTTAGGGTGTTAGTTTTGCTCTGCTCTCTTGTGCTGTTTTCTAGTTGCTGTTCTAGTTCTCTGGCCTGAGAAAGGTGCTGGTTCTCTCTAGCACTAGGCAGTTTCACAAAAAAGAAGTTCTGCTCCAGTTGTATTTTTGGGCATCTGTTTTTAGACCGTGTTCAACACATGTTGCATCTTTGTCCCCCAGGATTTTGGCACTGGAGAAGCTGGGAGCAGTCTTCAACCAGGTTGCCTTCCCATTGCAGTACACACCCCGAAAATTTGTCATTCACCCAGAAAGCAACAACCTGATCATCATTGAGACAGACCACAATGCTTACACTGAGGCCACAAAAGCACAGAGGAAGCAGCAAATGGCTGAGGTAATTGGGGTGGGGGACAGGTACACTCATCTGTTCCCCATAGGGCACTTCTGCAGCTGGAAGTGCTCCCTGCTCATTAGTTCCCAGCTGCCATTACCTGCAGGGCTTTCTACCCTGTGTGAATGCAGGGGCTGGAAGAGGAGTGGAGATCTGCCTCAAAACACAAATTTCAGCAGAATGCACCACTTCCCAGTGTTCCTTCTTTTGCCTCTTGAGCACCACCCTAGTGGAGGACAGTCCTGCTTGTGTAACACCTTTCTGTGGGGTTTCTGTGGTTGGTTGAGGATGCTTGCATTTCAGTGGATTGTTTATTTTCTTCTCAAGTCTGTTTCCCGGGTTATTGATTTGAAGAAACAGCTCCCGAGACAATTGTCCCTTGGGCAGGGCAGAGCTGACACAGCTGTACTCTGAGCTGTAGAAACTCCCTGGGATAAGCTCAGGGTGGGTGGAACCATTGGGACTTAATGGGGTTTATGTCTTCACAGGTAGTACCTTGCCCCAGAATACCTGGGCTTAGGTAAAACAGGGAGATTGTATTCTATGCAGAGCATCAGGATGCTGGGAAAGGAAATAACTGAGCTGCTCTTTTCTCCTGTCCCTTTAATGCTGTAGGAAATGGTGGAAGCTGCAGGTGAGGATGAGAGGGAGCTAGCTGCAGAGATGGCTGCAGCCTTTCTGAATGAGAATCTTCCTGAGTCCATCTTCGGTGCCCCCAAGGCAGGGAATGGTCAGTGGGCCTCTGTTATCAGAGTGATGAACCCCATTCAGGGAAATACATTAGATCTGGTCCAGCTGGAGCAGAATGAAGCTGCTTTCAGGTAAGAAGCATTGCCAGATGCAGGAAAAGTCCCTGCTTGTGATGAGTCTTAGGTGCTTTTTTTTCTTTTTGTTTATCTGTTACTGAGCTGAAATTCAGGTGGAACATGTTATCAAGAGACTAGCTTGAAATTCCAGAAGTGATTTGTCTTGCCTTTCCTTCCCTTCTAACCTTGATCTTGTCCACATGTGGCATTAAGAGGTGGTGGTGCTCCAAATGTGGTTGCTGGACGCCAGTGCCTAAGGAACAGCACAGGGATGTAAATGGTAGATAAGAGAGCTAGGAACAAGAGAATGTGCTCTTATCTCTCGCTTTTCCTTCTCATCCAGATAAACTGAGGATAGATTAAATGGAAAGGGAAGTGTTAAAGGACTGGAGGGGAAAACCAACACAATAACCATGAAGAATAGCAAGTGCCTTAGGAGGTGAAAGTAGAGTTAGGTCATGTTAGTCCAACAGGCTGACCTGCCATTTCCAACCTGCCTGAGCTATTTACTGAGCAGGAAATAACATGGAAGATGAGGAAAGTTGTTTTTATATGTCCCAATGGGAACAGCCTTTGAAAAACAGCTTCTAGTAGATTTTTGCAGATCACTAGGCAGTGTCCAGCCTGTGAAAGTGTAGAGTAACACTGGGCATTGTGAAAACATAAAATACTTTGGGCATATGTGACAGTTGTAACACCCATGGAGAGTGTGGAAGAATGAACAAATCTGTGTTAAACATTTCTACAAAGAGGAAAATGACCTCTTAAAAGGGAGTGTCAGTTTTGAAGGGTTGGATTCTCAAACCGCTGCTGGGCAGGTGCAGGTTGTGCTGTCAGGGAATCCAGTCCAGGTGGGCAGTGTTAGTGTGATGATGACACTGATGTCCTGCTGTGTCCTGTCGTTTCCAGCGTGGCTGTGTGCCGGTTCTCCAACACTGGTGATGAGTGGTACGTGCTGGTGGGAGTCGCCAAGGACCTGATTCTGAACCCACGCTCAGTTGCTGGGGGGTTTGTCTACACATACAAGCTGGTGAATAGTGGTGAGAAGCTGGAGTTTCTCCACAAGGTGAGGGGAGTGATGGCATCATTGCCAGGCTGTGTTGGAGTAGCTCTTGCTTGCCTGGGTGCTGCAGTGATATTGCAGTACTTGGTGCATCCTGGGCAAGGTTATCGTGCTGGTGGTACACACTGGAAGCAGCCTTGGAGAAAATTAGCTGCCTCCTACAAAATCATCTGGTACATCTTTTGCAGAGCTGAGGATTGAACACAGATATCACAAGAGTTCCAGTTTTACCCATTTAATTGGGTAAATTGGAAAGGAGCAGTGTTTTTCATGCCCCTGTTAGGGAGGGGAGGGAAATGGCTCTGTTTGCTTTCTGGAATATGAGCTCAGAGAGCTGCTTAAGCACTTGTTTACAGAGCAAATTCATAGTCAGATCACTTGAACCCTGGTGCTAAGACTGTCAGTCCTTGGCTGACCATGTGCAGCTGTTGTGAGCTGTCATCTTCCTTGGATGCTGTTTGATTGTGTGTAGAAATGATTAGTGACCAACTTGTTTGATAGGTCTCGGGGGCTTCAGCAAAGGTTTCAGCAGAAAAATTACTGTTCTTTCCACATGCTTCCAGCATGGCTGAGATTTGAGCAGATGAACACATGGAAAGGAATGTTGTGGCTTACTCACTTCCTAGAGTCCTGATGAAATGAGTGGGTTCTGTCCTGGACTGCAGCCTTTTCTGATGCCACTGAATACCCACTGGGAAGTTAACAGAGTTGAAGTTGTGAAATAAACTTCTTAGCCAGTGCAGTCAAGCTAGGAATGCTGTAGCTGGAAGCTCTCTATGTTTTCCCTTCCTCTGCTGTGGCTGATCATTTTGGATTGATTAGCAGTGGGAGATTTTTCAGACAGTAACCCTGTCTGAGTTACTGAAATGGTGGACACACTGTAGTTGTTCATAATTTCTTTGGTGGCAATGTCAGATGGCTGAATTACATTCACGCCTTGCTTTAAAAACTGGGTAGATTCAGGCAAAGTTTTTCTGTTGGATGTAAACCAAAATGAAAAACTGAGGCAACCAGTCCCTTTTCTTCTTTTGCTGCCTGCCCTGTATGAGGTTCTTACAGCAGTCCTGTGCTTCAGTTAAGGTGTGCTGCCAGCAGTGTGTCATGTGTGAGTGCCCATGGCTGTCTTTGCTCTATGTGTGACATCTGCTGCTGTCAAAAGGCCTGCAAAGGACTGACCTGTTGCCTCTCCTGTAGAAAAAGATTGTTATTAGCCTTGTACATTGAAAACCTTGGAACAGGCCAGTGAACCTCAACCATACCATTAGCTGAATCTGGTCTGAAGGTTTATATATGGCTAGCTGTCTTAATGAGAATTTTATCATCTTCCTCTTCCCTCTCTAGACCCCTGTGGAGGAGGTCCCTGCAGCCATTGCTCCATTCCAAGGCCGAGTCTTAATTGGAGTTGGAAAACTCCTACGTGTATATGACCTGGGCAAGAAGAAACTGCTTCGGAAATGTGAGAATAAGGTACTGCCTTCTGTTCCTGACCAGAGTCAATTTGGAATGAGTGGTACTTTGCAGCAAGAGTGAAACATGGGGGTTAGCTCAAGTGTGTCGGTTTATTTGGTCATTAGAGCTGTGTGTTTGCCTTGCTGGGTGCATCTATCCGGAGTAGTGCTGGACTAGATTGGGCTGCTGTGCTGCCCCTCTGCATCCCACACCCATACACCATTTTCTTAGCACCATTCTGACAGTGGTTGCAAGTTCCTTTTTGTCCCTGTTACTGACCATGTGCAGGGGTCTGTACAGACTGTTCCTTTGGCTGCTGCAAATGTGAGAGGTCTTAACAAGATAGATGATGATTGCTGGAAATGTTTTGTTAGTTTGGCTGATAAGCAGCTGGGGGACAGAAGCTGGAGGGGGGTGCATATGACCACCTCATCAGATCCCCAGAGTGTTGAAAAGGGGATTTTCTCTTTCAAGTAGACAGTCTTCCTTGCTGAGCATCTCTGGTACTTCAGGAAAAGAAAAGCGTGATTTTCTAACTCTTAATTGCCTGTTCCTCCCTCTCTCGTGCAAGCTGCAGAACCTGTGCCAGTAGCTCATTATTCCACAAAAGAACTCCAACAAGCTAATAGACTGGGAACTTGTAGGGGATTTTTTTTTTCCCAAAACATTACTCACATCTCACATGAAAAATTGAAGCTTTCGTTCTTGGGCCGTCCATAACCATATAGTGAGGAGACATGGAAACGATGCCTGCTTGTAGGGATGTCCTGGCATCTCCAATCGTGGGCTCACTTCTTCTCTGGACAGTGCTCATAAAGGGAAGGCTGTGAATGCCACATGGTGCTTGCTAGATTGCCCTGTGTTGATGGTGTATTTAGAGTGGGACTGTAGTATGGCAGAAGTGAGGGGTAGTTTTGGAGGAAATGATGGGGAGCAGGAAGCGAGCTGTAGTTCACAGCGGGGAAATAGTGTTTCAACTGGAGTAGGGTGATGCTTCTCTGTTTGAAGCACTGAGGTTTTGTCCTTTCTCTCTCAAAAGCACATTGCCAACTACATCTGTGGGATCCAAACCATTGGGCACAGAGTGATTGTCTCAGATGTTCAGGAGAGTTTCATCTGGGTGCGTTACAAAAGGAATGAGAACCAGCTCATTATCTTTGCTGATGATACTTACCCCCGGTGGGTCACTACAGCAACACTCCTGGATTACGATACTGTGGCTGGAGCAGACAAGTTTGGTAACATCTGTGTGGTGAGTGTGCCGTGCTGAAGTCGGGGCTTTTTGGACATATTTTCCCTTAAAACATCCAAAATTCAATGATTTATCTTAAAAGAATGAGAATCTGTCATTAGCTGGAGACAACGCCCTGTACCACTGACTTGTTTTCATGGGGTGACTGTCATCATAGTGGGCTGCAGTTTATCTGTTTGTTAAATGAAGCAAATAAGTTAAAGCATCAGCAGGTCATAAACATTATTTCTGAGGTATCCAGTAATTTATGTTTATATTTATATTGTCTCAAAGCTTACTGTCAGTAAGCCTTGAAAAGAAGTTTGTTGCTGTGAGAGGGCCTATGAAAACTTGAGTCAGGGTTATCACTCTTTCTGACTAAGCCTCATCGCTGGCATTTAGCTTTCTCTGTCACTTCCTCTTCACAGTTGGCTTTGTCAGCCAACACTTCCCCACTTGGCTGGATTTCAGCAAGGGAGGAGGAAAGAATAGATGGTCTTTCTGGCAGAGCTTTGATCTCTTTCTGAAGCGTGCTCGGGTGCTTTGGAGTGCAGAGTTCAGCAAGTGTCAGATGCTGCGCCTGCAGGATTTGGCCAACACACAGAGATCAGTCCTCTTCAGTTTTCCTGCCCCACATCCATCAGACTGTTTCCTTTGTGGAAACCACCTTCAGATCAGTTTGACCATACCTCCCAGGGTGATCTATGAGTGCTAGGCCAGGCAGAGGCTGGTTGTGGGGCCCTGCCTGTATTTCTGAGTGATGGGCTATTGGTCTTGATACCACAGTTGTCATATAACTGTAGAGGCTGTTTTGGAGAGGCACCTGGATGATTCTACTGTGAGTGTAAAGTGGTTCTTGCAGAGTCCAGTAAAGCAGCCTTTCCAACAGCACAAGGGTTCTCCAGAGATGTGCTGCTGCTCTGCAGCTTGCTATTTCTTCCTTCCTCTTTCAACACAGGTGAGATTGCCTCCCAACACCAATGATGAGGTAGATGAGGATCCCACAGGCAACAAAGCTCTCTGGGACAGAGGCCTGCTTAATGGAGCATCACAGAAGGTAACACTTTGTGGGAAGCACATGGTTATTGTAAGAAAAGAATGCACTGCTTTTCTGTGAAGGCCTTTGCAGTGTCGTCCAGGACATGTATTGGCCGTTCTGCTTCTGCACAATCTGCTGTGCTGTGGGTGATCTGTTTTCACTGTTACTGCAAGCCAAATTTCTGAAATCACAGCTGAAGTCTGTTTGGTGTGTTTAATGGAAGTAGCTCATTTTCTTTTGCTGCTTTCTCTCATTACTTACATCCGTTTGTCCAGCTGAGTTCTGCCATCTGGTCACAGGTGGAAGGCACTTCCTCTCTAGAAAGGCATTTCAGAACTAGCAGTTGGCTGAATTTATTCTGCTCCTCTCTCAAGCCCTTTGATGCTTTTATATAAGCTTAAGAAAAAACATGCTTCTGTGCTTTCCTTTCAGGCTGAAGTGATTATGAATTATCACGTGGGAGAAACGGTGCTTTCCTTGCAGAAGACCACACTGATTCCAGGAGGCTCTGAATCTCTTGTTTATACAACCTTGTCAGGGGGGATAGGAATCTTGGTCCCTTTTACTTCCCATGAGGTAAGCAAGCCCAAGCATCAGGCTGCAGTCTTGCTGCTTTTTGTGCACCCATCCGCAGCCAGTATATTAAATATACTGCATTTCCTGGAGGGCTCCACAGTGCCTGAAAACCTGAGCTACAGGAGAGCCTGCAGCTCCAGTGCAGAAGGAAAGAAAAGGAGTTTGCTGAGTCCTGCATTGGTTCTATAAAGAGTTTAAAGCATTCTTTGTTGCACTGTTCTGAATATGTTTGTGCTTTCAAGGAGCTTTGGGTGATTCAGTGTGGAGGGAGGAGTCCTTTGGCGTGTTTTGTGTAGCCTCTAGGCTGTTGATGAGGCAATGATGTTTCAAGTCCTGAGGATGGTACTCTGTTCTGTATTTGCTGTGGCCTCTTGGACCACAGTGGATAGCCAGACATTCCCTGTTGGAGCTGCAGCTCTGTGCTGCACAGCTGCCCTGTGCCTCGTTTCCTGGGAGGCTGATCCTGACCAGGGTGGCTGCTTAGCTCTGCTGTGGGTGCTTCCCAAGTGGAAGTGATGAGGAGGTAGCCGTGACTTTGGCTGCTGTGTGCAGGGCTGCCCTGGCAGTCTGTTAATCACAGAGCCACAGAATGGTTTGGATTGAAAGGGACATTTAAAGTTCATCTCATCCAACTCCAAATGGCCATATAATGGCACTGTTTCAGCCAGTGCAGGAGCACCTTCTGATGGGTGTTGTCTTGCCTTGCTAGCAGCACTGATGTGTACCAAACTGTTCTCTTATCAATCCTTTATCTCCCCAGGATCATGACTTCTTCCAGCATGTGGAAATGCACTTACGGTCTGAGCACCCTCCTCTCTGTGGACGAGACCATCTCAGTTTCCGTTCCTACTACTTCCCAGTGAAGGTAAGCCCTGAGCACATGGGTCACCTGGTCACAGAGGGCAGAGAGTTGCTTTGGGGCACAGAGCTGCCTTGAGGCTGGCAGAAGCAAGGCAAGGTTATTGTGTTGGACAAAGCAAAGTTGCTGTTTAGTGGGGAGACCTGAGGTACTGTCAGTAATGGCTTGTGTAGTGCCTGTAGCAGCAGGCTCTTGAGCAGCAGTCTGTAAGGAGAACAATACTTAGCTCTTAATACATGTCTGGTTTGGTTTCTTAACTCTTGTAATGAGTCTCCTGAGGGCTGGTCCTAAGACCCAAGCCCAGAGGTGCTCTAGTTGCATTTCTCCACTTCCCACAGCATCTCTGTTTTCCACCAAGAAAAGCAGCATTACGTAGCTGTTGGTGTGGCTGGGTCAAAGTGAGTGCTGCCCTGGGTTATGTTTTTTCCACCACCACCACTGGAAAGGGAAATTTAAGTTCAGAAACAGCTGTTCCTGCCTATTCCTGCTTTTGAGGAACTATTAGAAGCTGTGAGCTACTAAATGCTCAACCAGATGGATCCCAGTGGTAGTTATTACCAGAGTAATGAGTGTGAAGTCAGCCAGAACACTGTCTCAGCAGATGAAGCTTTCTAGGTGTGGAGGGTGGTGGTGGTCTTGGTGAGCTTGAGGCTGGTTTGCAGATACATGTCATCCCTCACAGCCTCCCCAGCCTTCCCAGCGCAGGGCTCAGACCAAAGCGGATCTCTCTTCCTTTACCTTGTGTGATTCTTCTGCTGCACCCAGGCCTTTTGGGTTTCTGTTTCGTTAATCAAGCTGGCCAGTAATTAATGTGATGCTAACTGCTGCTATTCAGCAGATGAGGTCACCAAGCGTGGTCTTGTTTCCAGGACAGGATTAAGAAACTCGTGGGAACAAACTGTTTGTGGCCATTTTTCCCTGTTTAGGCAGGGTTCAGTGCCTCTGTGTGGTTTCGATTCAGTTCTCTCCTCCTTGCCTCTCCAGAATGTGATTGATGGGGACCTGTGTGAGCAGTTCAACTCCATGGAGCCTAACAAACAGAAGAATGTGGCCGAGGAGCTGGACCGGACCCCACCCGAGGTGTCCAAGAAGCTGGAAGACATCCGCACACGCTACGCTTTCTGAGTGGTGGCTGGCAGGGGCAGAAATGCTTGCAGTTCCTCTGGGTGCTCTTTAGGCACCTTGGGGAGGAGGAATGTGTGCTT